CCCATGATCCGTCTGAGGATATTTTATGGCTACTGTAGCCATACCACTGAGAATATTTTATGTCAGCATTGTAATAAGTGAGAACCGGGAAAAAATTCGCATCAACCAGTCAACGATGTGATTCGAACCTGGAACCCCTATTAAAAGGTGAAGAACGCTCCATCCCCTGAGTGGTATTATTTTATATTTCATAGCCGTTGTTGAACAGCCGATCCAATTTTATGGGTTTACAACTACTAATGTTCAACTCCGTAGCCTTGTAATTTTGAACACAATCCAGAAGGGAACTCCTGGATCGAGTATTGGGAGAAATTTGCCTTCGTGGAGGACTTTTTGATGGAGCCATCCAGCATTTGCGTTACATGGGGAAGAAAACCACGAGAACCTCCCATGGTTAGCCAGACGACAAGGGGCTACCACTGAGGATATTTCACGTCATCACTGTGATCGGTGCAAGCCGGATGCGGAATTCGTATCGACTGGGATTCGAACCCGGTTCGCCGAAATTGGAAGGCGAATGCTCTATCCCCTGAGCCATCGTGGCTCCCTGAGTGGTATTAATCCAATATAGGTCATTGAAATATTAGTCAGTGGCAGCTTAAAGCAGATTCGGCCGGTTTTCAAACATTAACGCGATGATGCTGTCCAAACACGGCGCTCGTGCACGCAGGACATCGCGTTGATGCCGGGAAAATACGGCGCTTCTAATGAAATAGTTGATTATTACATAGTAATTATTAATTTTAATTTTTATTATTTTTCATATTGTAGAATATTTGTATACATAATGCAGGCCATGAAGCAAAATCCATTAAACTCAAAATAATTAGATACTTATTTGTCATAAAACTGTTCAAAAAGCTGCTTGAATCGAATCTCTTACCTTCCTAAAAAAATTTTATTTTCCTAAATTTATATTAAAATAAATTTCTGTTACAATGAAATTTCGATCCAGCGAGGGGAAATTCAAATATTGGGGTTACAAACTAGTTCGGTCCGTTTTTCCTTTTTGTGATCAAAAATGCATTTATTTCCGAACAAAATGAATGAACAGATTAATCAAAGCATTGTCCATCGCTGACTACTACTTTTCCCCACCTCTCAGGCAATTTTCGAATTCCATCTCGAAAAAATGTCTCGTCTTTCGAGGCGATCCAAGTTAGGAGCCAATTTTCGATTTCTGCGAAAGAAGTGAACTAGTGACCTGCCAAATCGTGCTGCATCCGTCGGAACAACCAGTAATCAGAAGGAGCAATGTCCAGCGAATACAGTGGGTGCGGCGAAATATCCCACTTGAGCGTTTCCAATAATTTTTTACGACTTTTGAGACATCAGGCCGACCGTTATTATGCAGAAGAATAGCGTTGTCATGTCTTTGCTCGTATTCCGCCCGTTTTTCTCGTAATGCACGGCTCAAGCGAATCAATTGTAGCCTATATCGATCGCCCGTAATGGAATCACCAGATTGTAGCAGCTAATAGTCTACAACACTATTCACCATTCATCATTCACTATTCACCATTCTTCATTCACCATCCTTCATTCACCATTCACCATTCCCTGCATGATTTATCAGTTGGAGCATTGTCACCATAAACTTCTACAAGCATTCGATGCCCTTCAGCTGCACTTTTCTTCCAATTAAAGCGGAAACATAAAACCTCCGGCAAATGCTGCTTAGTTACTACAAAATTTGACCTATTCAACAAAGTAAAAAATAGCGTTTTTGTATGAAACTCAGAGCGATATAAACTGAATATTATTGACAGATGTTTAACCTCTCTGAAACCACCGAAACCAGCTGTCACTATATAACATTCATAACAGCAGAGCCATCTTTTAAAAACGGACCGAACTAATTTGTACTCCCAATATATTTTTACATTTACAATCACATTGTAAAGAGATACAAACAGTAAAAAAAGAACTCTTAAACTATTATTTTTTTATGAGATATAATTTTTGCAAATGTTGTCTAATATTTAAGACGCTGGATCACAATGGCTAACGAGCTTGGCTAGTTCAGGCGGCATTAGAAACAACAATAATATCAAACATTTTAGAACAGCAATGAAAGAAAGACTGATTTTCAGCGTTTTTCTATTTTCTGTATCAGAAATGAATAAAAATTTCTTTGTTTTGCCCTTTTCGTCTATATTGCTAGCTTAAACAACAGTAAAATGTAATTTTCTCAACAACAAAAAATTGACGAAATAGCTGGATGCAAGTAATATTTAGCTTGATAGAAACAGGCAGGTTTTGTCAATATTAACATTTTGATGGAGCCCTACAATGAAAAACTTTCAGGTATATGTCGCACGTATTACTCGGAGCTTTTACAGTACAGTCCGCAAAAAAAAAAATAATAATAATAAATAAACAGATCACCTCAAATAATTTTTGATTGTATCCTCACATTCTATGACACAATCTTAATGGTTCAAGGGGGTGACCTTAAATATGCTAATTAATTAGAGCAGACGATTTTTTAAGGTACGCAATCAGCCACAAAAACGCACTTTCTCTAAATAAGCATGCCTTTACTTTGACGGATTCGAATTTTTAAATCCCAAAATATAGGGGTTCGCCACAATCTGGGATATATGGCTCCGATAATTTGGTCAAGAAAATTGACCAAAGTTTGACCCCTTTAATGTCCTTTTTTATTTTGCGCATATCTCGAGAACTTTTTAAGCGAAAATTCGGCACACGTATAAGAAGTTCGTTTATCCAAAGATAATTCTACGCAAAATATAACTTTTAGTAAATAATTATTATTTTTCATTTAATAAAAATCGAAAAAAAAAATTGTATTGCAAGGTGTACAAGTTTTTACATCATATTAAAGAATGCTAGTTAAAGTGACAAAAAAAAAATTAACAAAAACGGCAAAATACGGTGAAATAGTTCATGAAAAAATGAATTTTTAAATTCCGACCGATTCAAAATTTAATTTCCCAGGAACTATTTTAGCGTTTTCGCTTAAATTCGTTTCTTCGAATATTTTTACGTTTCGATTATTCACAGATTCATTTATTGCAACCAACCTTTTGGAGTCCCGCAGTGGACTGATCGTTAAGACACGGTTCCCAGCAGATCACCGAAGTCAAGCATCACTGGTTGCAGTCAGTGTGCGGTTGGGTGACCACTTGGATCAGTCTGCATAGGGACCGAGGGTGTGCGGTATTGGTCCTCGCTAAACTGTGCTACCGTAAAGTGCTCGACTTCGCGTGCAGGTCGTTGGGCTACAGAAGCGGGGTGCCATCCCTTCTGCAGAGGATCAAAATTGTGATGGCATGTCTTCGGATCATCCTCTGGGATGTTTCCCAGACCGTCGCCAATAGCCCATTGTTTAGCTCTAGTACGACGTAAATGAACAACAACAACAACCTTTTGGAATTTATAAATTGCAGAAAATTCTTATGAATAATAAAATTACGGTTAAATTTAAACACAAATCATAATTCTAAAACTGTCTAGAAAATCTAGCCTCCGTACATAACCTCGTAAACATAATATAAGCCGAGGAACTCACCAAAAATTTTCTAAATTTTTAAGTTATTGTTTGCATTCCATCAACTATCCATGGAAGGACATAAAAAATGAATCCAGGGTTATCCTGCTACTGTAGTTCAGCCTGCTACTTCAGCTGAAAAATATTTGGTGAAAGGAAAATGCTTTTCTGTCATAATTAAACCCAAATTTATGGAGCATTCTCACTGCATAAAATTCGCGTTAACGATTCATCGCGGACGCAAGCAGCTCGTCTTCATGTTATTTCTAAACTGACGCTCTCACGTCTAGAGCAAATCGCATGCAGTACAAATGTTCTCTTATTTTTATTTGATTTGACTGTTAGCCAACCACTAGAGCTACACTGGTATGCTATTAGAGACAGTAAGAAATGATAAAGTGAAGCAGGTGGGTTGGTAATGCTGTCTTCGAACCATCTCCTCAAACTGCGTCTCTGAACTTCTTCTCGCTTGGGAAGAAGGAGCCTTGGTGCATCCACAATGCATGCGATACATATGGATGGTGTTTTCAGTAGAAATGTAAACAATAGCAATCTCGAGCTGTATGCCTGCTCTAATTCCGGTAAGAAAGTTCGCAGCTGTTTACTACATGTTATTCTGCGAGGCGATATTTTCAAACGGATAATTTTGTTTTCAATAAAAGAAATATATTAGATAATTTCCGAGCTCAAATCTGCCGTATTTCATAAGATATTAATGTTATTATGTAATTCTGGTGAGTTTGAAGTGAAAATTTGGTTTAGTTATTTAGAGATATATTGTTAAAAAAGGTGACATGGTTGCAAGATTTTGACTAACTCGCTTTTTTGATAGTCTTGATACGGCCTCTTTCCATAAGTTTATTACTGTTTGTTCTTGTTGCAAGCTGTGCACCATCTTACGTTAGTGTTAACACTTTTAGCATTGTAAACACAAGTATTGTTAGCATTGTAAACACAAGTAATAAGTAATCAAATACATTGTTTGCAAGAATTTCAAAACACAATGATGTCAAATGGCTTTAAAATACAACGGAAAAAGTAACCCGTAAATTTAGGCGGTAGCGGGCTTGCAGCTTTCCCTAGAGTAGAAAACACCATCCATATGTGTTTGCATGTCAGTGCAATTCTCCCATGCGATATGCGCGAGCAGTTCGCCTTACATGCTGTTACTTAACACTGGCACGAGCGTCTAGGGCAATCACATGCAATGTGATCAGACGTTCAGCCCCAGCCGTCTACGTGAGGAATTAACTATCGACTCTTGAATAAAACCTGTCTTACCTCTAATGTCTGAGTGGTTAAAGTTTTTCATGATTCATAAAACATTTTTTAGCTAATAAACTTATTTTCGTGTTTGGAACTAATCACGAATGCGTGCTGCGCGAATGAGATACAGTGAAAATGACCCTTACAAAATTTCTGTTCTCAATTTTTCAATATTTTTTCTCGGCTACCGCTGCTTAAACTGTGACTGCTCTCTTTAGGTTTTGATAACTGGCAACTTCTGAAATTTATGCGTTCCTCGCGAGGGCGTCAGAAATATTTGCGACGTCATTATACCGTAAGCTAAGTCATTAGGATAAACAAACTATCAATTTTGACTTCAGTTTTAACTTGTAATTTTATCGTGAAGTTTAGCGGAAGACGTCTCTTATTTTAAGAACATTTATTCCAAATGGCTTCAGGAGGTGATTCTGCAAGTAAGAAACTGTTTCAGTAACATTTCTTTCGGTTTACTAAAACCGGCCGGCTTAGCTGTCACTTAAAGCTGTCAAGCATTTTTCGAAATACTATTTACTTTTGACAAGACGGAAATATGTCACACCTGCAGATGTTTACCTTCTAAACATGTCGAATAAAATATTTAACTTAATATAAATCCTTTTTATTTTTCTACATCTGTAATTAAGCAGAATTAGCGTTAAATTTTGAATTAAAGCTGTTTTATGTAAAACTTAAGAAGTTTCATAAGGTGTGAAAAATTTTCAATTTTTGGAAATTCTTTAACTTTTTTTCCCCTCATTTGCGTTTTTTGCTACTTTCTTTAATCTTCAAATCGCAGTTGTTATTTTGAAAATTGCTTGACAATTTCCGCTTATTGCTTACAGATTTAATGGTGATGATTCCATAGGCTGAACTTCATAAAACAAAATTGTATTGAATGCTGACAATGTTTCTATAAATATTGAGCTCATTGTTTGTAAAGAATTTCGTTTATCCCGGCTTAAATAATTGTAGTGATTTGCACTTATCAGTTTAAAATGAATACTGTGTAAAAAATGCATATTTTTATTAATAGCATAAATTTAAAATTAATATTTTATCTGTAACTCAGCTGTTCTGATTTAAAACTACTGACTGTTCTACTATAATAAAAACTTTACAAGTTGTAAAAAAGTAAGAAGTGGAAATTTTACAAAAGTTCTGATCGCATTTAAAAAAATTATTTTCATAATTTCCATCTAAAAATGAATGTCATCCAGGCTTTCTGGTCTTGTAAGTCCCTATGCATGCTATTAGTTCAGACCAACAGTTTCCAATTTCTTTAGACCTAGAACCTTCTACTCTTAATGATCGATTTTATCAATTCATTTCAACTAAGTATTATAATCAATAATTCAACTAATTATTCACTGTTAACTAAAGAAAGACTTCTTAATTATTTTGAAAGTGTAAAGAATCAAGTTTTTTCATTGTTTATCAATACCAGATTTAAAGCTAGATTTACCCTGTTTTTGACAGTTTCATCCACTGATCTGGAATAGCATTTAGTCTACTGTGGAAATTTGTTTAAGTGTAGGCATAAGTTGAAAATAAACAAAATAAGCTGGATTATGGCTTATGTTGAAATAAAAACTGGTGAAAAGAGAACTGTAATAAGTTTTTAAAAAAGTCAAACATATTTAGTTATTATGGAATTTAGTTTTATTTAGGATTGAAAAAAATTTAATTGCAAATATAAATGCAATTTTTTCATTAATGCATATTTTTATTCAATATATTGTCTTTTTTTCTCTAGCATTTTACTTGAATAATTTAATGAAAATAACTAAATTTTGAAAGAAATAATTGATTGTGGAGGAGATATAAATATAATTACAGCTTTAAAAGAGCTGTAATTGGTCAATTAAAGTCTTAGATTTCAGAACCCATAGGTACCCTGGAACTAATTGTGGGAACGACTGTCTTATGCACCGCTATAATGTAGCCTGATTATAGCCTCATGTAGCCTTGCACTTTAATGTTTTGATATAAACTTAATCTGTAAGTAATCCGTCTGATGTAACTTTATACCTACCATTCTTTAATATTTATTATTTAAATATTAAGGTTTATAATTTTCTCTTCTATGGAGCTGCTACTTATATACTTTTCAATTATGATAATGTAAACAGTTATGTTTTTTGCGTACATTATTTGCTGAATTTTAGTAGGTACAATTTCTGTAATATTTAATTCTGAATTTCTCTTTATTTTTTTGTGTGTATTTTTAAGTAATGAATTTAACTTATTACGTTGAATGAATAAGCTATAAATATCATAAATTTGTTTAAAAGTCCCCTTTGCTTACATCCAAAATAAGTGGTAGCTAAATTATTTCATACTAGCTTTTGCAACATTATTTTTAACTTCAAAAATTTTCACTCTTAATAATCGTTAAAATAACTAAGCACATTCTTTTTTGCCAAAATGTAAAGTTTTTTCACAGTTTAACTCTAAAGTGCCTTTATACATAGCAGATATTTTAGTACAAGATATAAAATTATTTTTCTTATTTTAAAGGCATTTATATTTATTGAGTTGCCAAAATGTGGATTTTAAGATAAGTAGTTTGAGATTAAAAGGGAGGGACAGTTAACAACAAATAAAGAAAAATAGATGTTAACCGTTAAAAGGAGTAGAGCATAAAGAAGGCAAGGAGTTCAAATTTGTCGAATTTTTTTTAACACAATTTTATTAAGCCGATCATAAGTTTATTACTTCAATTTCAATTTCTCTTCGGCTTCATTAATAGAAAAGGTCTTAAAAGCCATAAACATTAAATATAAATTAAGTAAACTGATAAGATAGAAGCATGAATTTAAAAAAAATACTCAAACTTCAGTTTATTAAACATGTATTGGTGTAATTTATAAGAACTGGAAATGTTAAAATGATTCTTTTTTATATATTTCTATTCAGATTTTATTAAAAATTACAATGGAACTATTTAAAAAAGGGCTGTAAAGTTGTAATCAATTAAAATATGTACATGCTAAAATAAACTGATTTTCAAAAAATATGTAAATGTAATTTTAAAAATGTTCTGTCTGTAGTATTTTAAAAATAGATATTTTGTAAAATATTTTGGATGTTTTTCTTGACAAACCTCTTATTGGAAACTATTACATAAATATTTCGTTGAAATATAATTTCATCAGTGTTCTCCCTAAGCATTTTTTGAAGAACAGCCTGTCTTGCTTACCATTTGATCCTAGGAAATTCGGCCTCATGATCTTTTTTGTAAAAGTAAACCACCACCCTTTAAACACTACCTTTTTATTCATATTTCATTTTGAAAACAATTCACTGCTTAGATAATGACACACTGGTAAAATTATGTATGCTCATAGTTTTAATTTTATTTACTATTACAAATATTTACTTTGTCAAGATTATTCTCAACTGCTTTAATTTTTATAAGTATCTTTTTCGGAATGAGGGATATTACTAAATTTTCTAAGTGATGTTTATCTTATTTTTAGTTTAAATTGTAGAAAAAAGCTTTCAAGTTGTTTATCAATTATTCATTTTCTTAGTTTTGTATTTTGAAGAAAAAAAATCTGCACAGAAAATAACTTTTAACATACCTTTATTTATTTTTATAAACTACAAAATTTTAAATTATTTTGATTGAAAGAGAATTACTTTTGAAATAAACACCTAAAGTAGTGTATTAGGGTAATTTAAAAATTGTTGAGGATAAAATTCAGAAATTTTTATAGTTTTAAGTAACTGCCCTTTCAAAACTCAAAGTGCCCTTTTTGAAATGAATGTGCCCTGCCCTTTTTTTATTCTGAGGCAAAACTCTTGATTTCATATCCTTTCTGATCTCATTTGACTGTTAACTATTCATTTGACACCTTAAGTTTCTAAAATCTTTTATGATAAACATGTCAACTTTTACTACAAGTATTGTTAACATAATTATTCTAAATATTTTCCTACTTTGTATTTTAGTGATAATTGATAAGAGCTGATAAGATAATGACCAACAGTTTTTCTTGTCAGTTTAAGCTATCAACGTCTGTTATTGAAAACCTTCCAACCTAAATTATAAATGATATAAACTTAATTATTTCAAAATTATTGTTTTGCATTCTAGTGTAAATTTATAGATATAAATGATAAATTCTAGGTGTTTAACATTTTCAGAATTTATTTGTGATATGCTAGATTGTTTCTTGTGTGTGATAACAATCATAGGAAGCAACTGATAAGACAAAACTAGATAAAATTTAATTCTTAGAATATCAATAAAAACTTCTATATTTATATGAAATAAAATTAACTTCATAATCGGTGTGAAAAGAAAGTTATCTTAAATTGTATGATGAGATAAAATAATTTGACTTAAAGAAATTTTTTTAAAAAATCAATATTATTTAAAACTATCAAAATGGTCATTCAACCTAATTACATAACTTTCTAAAAACTTTATATTATCATTTGAGCAATATAGTCTTTTAAAAATTATAATAATTAATTTCTTAAGTACAGTTTCAATTTCCCTTTGTAAAACCAAATCACTTTAAAAGAAATCAAAAATTCTTTTAAAATGGTTCCTAATTAAATTCTTAACTAAAGCAATTTTCATAAATCCCCATTACTCTTAATGGTAGAATTAACATACTTAATTTTGTATTCTTGCAAATGAAATGTTTGCGAGTTATTTACAGAAACACTTAAGACTTGACTAGCACGCTGTAAGTTAAGTAATCCTGGTAGGGAATCCTGGATTGACCCCTATAAGTTCTTTTCTAAAAAAAGTGTACTAAACTCGTATAAGGCTACAAAAACTAATTCTACAACTTTCTTTTAAATTTTTATTTAGAAGCTTGATTAACTAAATATAATTTTTTAAAAAAAATTCATGGTTATTCTCTGTGTAAATTATTTAGACTTGTAGTTTTCCTTTCTACAGTTGAAAATTCTTTTGAAAACTATTTTTAAAAGGAGGAAAAAAATGATTTTATGTCTGGGTAAATAGTATTTGTCAAAAAGTAGATCTATTTTTCTTTAGTTATGAATAGATTAAGATTTAAGAATAAATGTATGACACAGTTTTTTTCCCCTCTGCCAAGGTCGACATATCTTTCCTTGTTATGCATCATTACTTAATACTATATGCGACATAGTGTGGAAGTGACCTTTTGTATCTTGGAACTACATTAGAGATTATTGGTAGTACTCATGGAAATTTGTGTACAACTTAAAAAAGTAACTTATATTAATCGTTTAATTAACTTGTTGGCTGAGGGAAAACTTATTTGACAGTTTTGTCATTTTAAAAACATATCCAGATTAAATTCTGTATATTCATAAAACAATTTTTTTTAAAAAAACTAATATCACCCTCAATCTTATTAGTTTTAAATTTTAAAAAGTATTTGTGATCTAAAAGAAAAGGTGGTTATTGAAAAAAAGATCTTGACAGCTT